AATCTAGAAATGAGACACTGATATGAAGGCTTAATTCTTAGCACGTAGCACTGATATGACGAACAGTTGGCATATAAAACAGAAACAATCTAGAAATGAGACACTGATATGAAGGCATAATTCTCAGCCCGTAGCACTGACATGACGAACAGTTGGTATATGAAACTGGAAGGACCTGGAAATGAGAAATTGGTTTGAACGCTCATTTCTCAGTCCTTAGTAGTGATACGACTCACAGTTGGTACACAGAACCGGAGGGATTTAGAAATGAGAAACTGATACGAAAGCTCAATTCTCAGCCCCTTCAAACCTCGAACCTTACACGACACTCAGTTAGTATAAGACGAGGTGAAGTATTTAGTATACATCGATCACAATAGCGAGAGATACATGTCCGTTTGGTCATTTACAGTTTGTTAATGGGAATCACCGAAACATTAAGTCTTCGAATCTCAACTCGAACCATAAGAGGAAGAAACGTTACGTTTACTGTTTACTATACTTATATAAGTATGAGAAGAACTTTACATACACTTAGACATTTCTAAGTATAGTATACATACATTTCTACAGGTACATATAACGTAAATTCCAGATGGTACATATAACATATATTCGCGATGGTATTTACGTCGTCTACAAATAATAAAAACATGTAACGTATATTCGAAATGATATATGCCTATTCTATACATCAATAAATACATATAACGTATATTCAAGTTGCTATATACATATTCAAAAAAGTATCATCAAAAACATGAAGTATATTCGAGACATATAAACGTATTCTACACATATATAAAAACATACATAAAGTATACTTGAGATAATAGACACTTATTTCACACAAATAAAAACAAATAAGATATATTCGATATGACTTATTCTTGTTCTACACCTCAATAAATATATATACATAAACTATCCAAGAAGTACGATCCGAAACTCACCCTAATTCGCCCCATTTCGGTTTCTAAATTGTGCTCTGTTCTGATGCGGTCGTGGAGAATTTCGAGATGCAGCTACGTGGGGAAAAAGAGAAATGAATTCACTCTATTAGAATCAATTAGAATACTGTGCTCATCTCGGAAAACCAGAAGAAGTCTATTTTTAAAAAGTTCAATGAATGTTCTGTGAATGATCTATAGGCAAACCACATCGATCGCTTGTAATGACTACAGAAAAATGATTCGTATCGAACCCAATCAACGACGTAGTACGTATGTTAGTGATTTACTGCATATACGTGTATACATGTGATCGTATACATGTACATATACATATACATATACATATACATATACATATATATATTATATATGTATATATATATATATGTTGCAAGTGCCAGTAAGTGCATACGTTTAGCCGAAAACCCATAAACACACACACATATATATATATATTGCCCGTGCCAGAAAGTGTATACGTTTAGCCGAAAAACTATAAACATACACACACACACACACACACACACACACACAC